CCACTGGCATAGTTCAGACCCAGGCAGCTGCCTGCCGCACCTTGTGCTCAGCAAGATACCTCTCACCTCTGGCCTGTGCTGGCACAGGTCTGTTTCCTTGTGTATAGAAAGCCCAGCTGTTACTACCTTGCAGTTTTTTTGTTTGTTTGTTTGTTTGTTTTTTTTGACAGGCAGAGTGGACAGTGAGAGAGAGAGACAGAGAGAAAGGTCTTCCTTTGCCGTTGGTTCACCCTCCAATGGCCGCCGCAGCCGACACGCTGCAGCCGGCGCACCGCGCTGATCCGATGGCAGGAGCCAGGTACTTATCCTGGTCTCCCATGGGGTGCAGGGCCCAAGCACTTGGGCCATCCTCCACTGCACTCCCTGGCCACAGCGGAGAACTGGCCTGGAAGAGGGGCAACCGGGACAGAATCCGGTGCCCCGACCGGGACTAGAACCCGGTGTGCCGGCGCCGCAAGGCGGAGGATTAGCCAAGTGAGCCGCGGTGCCGGCCCACCTTGCAGTTTTGTGTCAGTCTGAAATGCAGAAGCACAGACATTGTCGACAGCAGTGGCAGGCACCTAGCAAGTGCTCCATAAACTGGAACTGGAAAAGGGCTAACTCCATCCCAGGAGTGATTGGTCTCCTACTTCTTATGTTTATTCTTCTCCCAACTAGTATCAGCAGGGAAGAAACCCTAGGAAAGAGTGGGAAAAAGAGAAGGGTGGCTGCTGGATTCTAGCCTTCAAGCTTTGTAGGAACATCCATCCTAGGTATTGGGAATCAGGTCTTCATCTTTCTGGCACCTGGGGAGCCATAAATCCTGGTTCTCAGTAAAAGGTCATGACTTGATGACTCCATGGCTCCCTGTTCTCTAAGAGTTGGATTTTCTTTTTGGTGAGTAGGGAGCATGTGGGACATTTTCTTCCAAGTCCCACCGGTGATGGCAAGTCAAGAAGATTAGAGGTTTTCGATTGCACCTTTCCCCATAGGCCAAGTGCAAGCAGTAATAGCACAGGGAGTAGAGGCAGACTATAGAAGATGTGCACCATGACTCAGTTGCAGTCCTCCCCTACCCTGGCTGTGGCTGGCACTACTCCTGGACCTCCAGCCCGGGCCCCTTTCCTCTCCTCACCATGTTCTAAGTTACAAAGGGTTGCAGATTGACAGGTGGAAACAGGTCTGGACTTTCAGGTTCCCAGGACTTGCAGGATTTGCTGGCACCTCTACACTTACTGCTGTCACGCTCCCGCCCAGGGACTCAGATTCCTTCTCTGGCTTCAGGTTATCCTGCTGCCACAACCTTGGTGCTTATTGTTCATTTGGGAATCTTTTTAAGAATTGTTTTTGAATAGGATTATATTTACATGGTTCAAAAATGTAAACCTATCGTGAGATATAAAGTGGAGAGCCTTCCACCTCTCTGCCTCAGAATCCTAGTTCCTGTTCCTCAAAGACAAGTAGTGGTGCTTTAAGGAGCATTCTTCCAGAGTTTCTGTGTGCAATACAAGGACCCTATTGGAGACACAGCCAACTGTGTGGCCCACTTACCCTGAGGTCTTTGAGCTGGTCTGAGAGGATGGCAGGGATTCTGTAGGATGGTATCTCCATCCAACTTCAGAAAGTAATGTTGGCTAAAGAATTTTGTTGCCCTACTGAATTTTAAGCAGTGGCTTCCACTTCTCCAATCCCTTACTTGAAGAGATGAAGAAGATGATATACAACCTATTGTTTTATATTTGCTACTTCAAAATGCACATGTGCCTTTGAAAATCAAGCTACCATACTTGTACATTTCAGCTCAAAGGACCTAGTTACTGGAAACCAAATCATGTAGCTAATATAGACTTGAACAGGAAGCTGTAAGAGCAGAATGACAAATGAACTTGTTGGTATTATTTAAATACTCTGCTATGTCTTTTTTTTTAACTTAATATGACTTAGATCTCTTCCTATCATTACTTAGAGCACTTGTCTACTTCCTTTAGTCTTTTTACTGTTGTATAGAATTGTATTCTGTGGATGAACACTAATTCCTTATTAGTGCTTTTTTGGTGCATATTTTCATTGATTCCTATATTTTGTTGCCAGTGAAAACCTCTGCGTATAAGCAGTGACCTTCTCTGGCTCATAACAGGCTCAGACAGAATAAGACACAATTTTGTAAGGGTCAGGGCAGCACAGCTTCCAGAGTTGCCTACACAGGACAGTAGAATCTTGCCTTAAATTATCAGCTGGGGTCTTTTCTGCTCAGGTACACCTGGTGGGGAGAGTTTTCAACTTGGAGTTTGATAAAAGGACTACTGTGTGGCTCTCCTACCGTACCTGGTTCTATCTGGTACATTTGAAGTATGTAAGTCCAGCATTTGTGTCTGTCTGTTCTTAGTGAAGAACTAATGGTCAGCCTTTCCAGCGTGCTGCAAGGCACCTCTTTATAGAGACTGCTCTGTAATCCTGTCCATCACCATCTTGTCATCCCTGAGACGGCTGCTTCTGGCTTTAGCGTCCTTTTGGCTAAGTCTTTGTCTTGGTTCTGCATCAAGTCTGCTCCTTTATCTGCTGATTCTTCCAAACGCTGTGTCTTCCAGCAATGCACTGCAGGATTCTGGCCTCAGCTGTGGCCTGCAGCAAACTGGGCTGCACTAGAAGATGCTGTGTGTTCGCCTCACTGTCAGATGCTGTCTCTTTTCTCCCTAGACAGGGAGAGAGGAGACCTTGTGGGTTCCCGCTTGATGGAGCCTTACAGTGTTTCCTGAGAACCACTGTGAAATGCCCCAGGGAGTCACACCTTGTTTAACCGCATTCACCATGGTTTCCTCAGCATAGCTCCCTCTTCTGTGTTGTTCCAGGAGCATGTGCCTCATTTTTGACCTGGGACATCTCCCCCTCCCCTGACCTCTTCCTCCCCTGCTACCTCTTCATGACACAGTGTTTTCCCAGCCTGGGTTCCTTGGGACCTGGGTTCATCACCTGCTTTGATCTCAGGACCTTGTCAGTCCCTCAGCATTGTGAGGATCCAAGACACCCTTGGGAAGCACCCTGAGACACCCATTATGAAGACTTGTTCTACCACTTTTGCATGAAGCCTGGCTTTTCCATCTGTGATTCCCAGTAAGGCTTTGTTAGAAGGTGTTTCTTCTTGCCACAGGCAGAAGCAGGGAGCATGCAGATTCTTCACCTCTTTCTGTTTCAAAACCTCTGTCTACTTGGGGCTGCCCACCAGGTTGCTGTCTACCTGCCTGCCTTCCTTCAGAGTTACAGAGAGAGAGGGAGAGACAGAGATCTTCCATCTGCTGATTCACTCTCCAAATGGCTGCAACAGTTGTGACTGGGTCAGGCTGAAGCCTGGAGCCTGAAACTCCATCTGGTTCCCCCACATGGGTGTCAAGAGCCCAATTCCTTGGACCATATTCTAGTGCCTTCCCAGACACATCTTCAGGGAGCTGAATTGGAAGTGGAGCAGCCAGGACTTGAACCCATGCTCATGTAGCATGCTGATGTCATAAGTGTGGTTTAACCCAATGAGCCACACACTGGCATTTCTCTTCCTCTGTCTCCATCCTGTTGTATCTGTTTTCAGCATGTAATGATCTCTGACTGTAACCTCTGGTTTATCCTTCAGGGTTGTGTGCGAACGTGCTCTGGGGAGAGTTGATACCCAGCAAAGATTGGCAAAAGCTTCAGTATTGGCTCCTTAATAGCCACAGCTGGTGGAATGAGTAAATGAAATCTGAAGTCCCTAGGGGACTCCCTGGAGGAGGGAGCCAGTTATTCCTGTTTTTAGCTCCCTCACCTTGTCTGGATCAAATTAAAGATGGAACAGAAGGGATGGTCCCATTATGTGTCTTTTTTTTTCTTCTGGGACCTAAGAGTCTTGGGAATTATCTTGTAAGGGCTTCTAGTCCCGGGCTCCCTATTCCACCCACCTCCAGGAATAGAGACTGGATGAGAGTGGAGACTCCGTCTGTCTTGTTCATTTGTGTATTGTGGGTGTGAGAACAATTGTTGCAGTGGAAGGCAGCTCAGTACACGTCTGTGTCCAGGGTCAAGAAAATCTGTTTTCTCAGGGTTGGTTTTGCAGCCTGGCCAATGAGCTGATACCTGTGATGCTGGCATCCCATATGGGCAGCAGTCCCAACTGCAGCTGCTCCACTTCCCAGCTCCCTGCTAATGGCCTAGGAAAAGCAGTGGAGGAGAGCCTAAGTGTGTGGGCCCCTACCACTCATGTGTGAGACCCGGATGGAGTTCCTAGCTCCCGTTTTGGCCTGGCTCAGTCTTGGCCATTATGGCCACCTGGGGAGTGAACCAGGGGATGGAATCTCTCTCTCTCTCTCAAATACAAATAAATAAATTAAAAAAAAAAAAGTCTGATTTCTCTCTGCTGTGGTTCCCTGTGAAGAATGCTTAGTCCTTTGGGCATGGGTGGTAAGAGCTCACAAACCATAGCCCCTAGCTGAATGTCTTGATAGATTAGAGGACAGAGACAGTGGGGTTGGGGAAAGATGCATTGAATTTGCGGGGTGTCCTGGTTCAAGTCTTAGCTGTGGCACTGATGTGTTTCAGAACCTCTCTGAGCCTCCATTTCGTTATTTGTGGAGGAGGCATGAGAATTGCCCCCTGTCATACACATGCTTTACAGTTCATGAGTGAAGAAGGTCTGACAAACGTGCTTTAAATGAGGAAGTGCTCTGTGGATATGGAGGATTGCAGGATGGGAGTCTTCCTCCTTGCTTTTTCCTGCTTCACCGAAAGCCAGGTGCCCTTGCCAGCCACGGCCAACTCTTAGAATCAGATTTCCTGTGACCACACTCTTCAGATGTTCACTTTTGCAAAGTGATCAAAAGGAGCAGAGCTCCTAGGGTGCCCATCCTTGCAGTTCTCTGACAACCTTAGCAGGTGGGGGTGCCACCAGGACCTAGGAAAGTACACTCCCACCTGCGCCTCTGGGGAGCTGTGCCTGTGAATGGGTCCCCATGATGTGTACCATCGAGGGCTGCCTGACCATGTTTCTCTCTCCCCAGGCGGCTACTGAGGAGTGAACTTGGATCCTTCATTACAGACTACTTCCAGGTAAGCTGTGTGCGTCTGAACTTCCAGCACTATCATGCTTGTGGATCCATGTGTCTAAAGGAATGGCCAATTCAGTCCCTTAGCATTAATTCAGCACCCAAAATCACATACGCTGAGTTCCTACTCTGTGCCAAGTACCAAAGTGCAGCAGCTGCAGGAGGTCTACCAGTGAGGCGTGGTCCTTGCAGGTAACACAGAGAATAGTCCTGTGCCACAGTTTTTGGCTTTTTGGTCTCAGGACCCCCTTATGTTCTAGAAAATTATTGCTTGTTTGAATTTTGTTGACCCATCTTCACCACGTTAGAAATTAAACCTGAAGGACCAGTGCAGTGGTGTAGTGAGTTAAGCCACCGCCTGAAACGCAAGCATCCCATATATGTGCCAGTTTTAAGTCCCAGCTGCTCCACTTTTGATCCAGCTCCCTGCTAAGGAGCCTGGGAAAGCAGCCAAGGATGGCCAAAGTTCTTGGGCCCTGCCACCCACAGGGGAGACCGGAAAAATTTCTGGGCTTCTGCTTTCAGCCTGGAACAGCCCTGGTCATTGCAGCCTTTTGAGGAGTGAACCAGTAGATGGAAGATCTCTCTCTCTCTCTTTCCCTCTGCCTCTCTGTAACTCTACCTTTCAAATAATTAAAATAAATCTTAAAAAAAAACTGAGATGCTTTAAAATATATTTTAATTCATTTAAGTAATAAACTTATTACTGAACAGAAAGATAAATAGCACTTTTATGAAAAATAAAATTTTCAGAATTAGAAAACTTAACAGAAAGAGCGGTCTTGCTTTATGTGTTTGTGAATCTCTGCATGGTCTGACTTGTCTGGCAGACAATGACAGTCTCTTAGCTGTGGCACATTCAGCCTCTTGTGATAAGGCACACAGCCTATTCCCTGGAAAACCCCACTGTGCTCTCATGGAAGATGTGAGCGTGCACTTGACAACTGACCTAACTAAAATATTTGCCTCACTTGGGTTTTCTGGTTGTATTGGACAGAGTACATTTAATGTACTAGAATAGTAAGACCACAATGATGCGATGAAGATGAGGACAATGATAGATATGGCAGATAAGCTGGGACTTTATAATGTAGTCAGCTGTGGGTAGACATTCACTTTGCTTGGTGTTATTGAGAAAATGTTTTGAAAGGTCGGTGGGATTCCTCCATGGGATCCCAGACCACACTTTGAGAACTGCTCTGAGGACATTTCCTGTGACCCTCCCCCAACATGAATTTTTTTTTTTTAATTTATTTGAAAGGCATAGAGTTACAGAGAGGCAGAGAGAGAGAAAGTGTTCCATCCATTTGTTCACTCCCCAAATGGCTGCAATAGCCAGAGCTGGGGCGATCCAAAGCCCTGAGCCAGGAGCTTTCTCCTCATCTCCCACATGGGTGCAGGGGCCCAAGGACATGGGCCATCTTCTGCTCTCCGAGGCCATAGCAGAGAAGTGGATAGGAAGTGGAGCAGCTGGGACTTGAACTGGCACCTATATGGGATGTAGGCACTACAGGTGGCAGCTTTACCCACTACACCACAGTGCCAACCCCGGTGGTGTTTTTTTTTTTTTTTTAATTTACACTTGATCTTAGCCAAAAGGCCGAGAAGTGATTTTTTTAAAAAGATTTATTTATTTATTTATTTAAAAGCAGAGTGACAGAAGGAGAGAAGGGAGACATGCGTGCGCACACACACATACAGAGAGAGAGAGAGAGAGAGAGAGGAGAGACACCTTCTATCTACTGTTTGATTTCCCAAATGCCCATGACAAACCAGAAGCCTGGAACTCCATCTGAGGGTTTCCCATGTGGTGACAGGGGCCCAGGCACTTGAGCCATTATCTGCGTGCCTCCCAGGGTGCACATTAGCAACAAGATAGATGGAAGGCACGAGTATCTCTGACTCAAAGCATTGCTCCCATGTGGATTGCAGGCCTCCCAAGTGGTGGCTTAACTCACCGCACCACGATGCCTGTGCCAGGTGTGTGCCTTTGAGCAAGTTGCTTTGCCTCTCCATGTTTGAGTTTCCTTTTCTGTAACGTGGGGATAACAGAACCTCATGTTATAGGGTTGCTGTGAGGACTGAACAACTTGTTATTTGTAAGATGCTTTCTGACAGGAGTAAGTGTTCATTATGTTTACATAGGGGCCTGAGTTATTCTCAAGTGAAATCCACCCCTTTTAATGGGAAGACACAGTAAACATGCATAGCATCTTGGCCACAGGTTGGGGATGTTGTAGAGCATATTTTTCAGACAGGTTAAAGAGATTTCAGGCTTTCTAAAGCAACACCAGACATCCCTTGACTACTTTTCTTTCCAAGATTCAAGAAGCTTAAACTTTTATGTGCACTTTAAGAGAATGACAAATATCAGTAATGAAGGTACCCTCTCCCCCAGCGTTCTCACACATGCGCACACACACACACACACACACACAGCAGAAACTGATTGCTCTAAAATGTCTGCTCAAAGCCAGACCCGGCAGAAGCCAGAAGCCTGGAATGCAGTTGGGTCATGGGTCCTGCTGCTTGGGAGGCAGCCCTAGCTCAGGCAGAGACAAACATAAAGATGAAGAAAGAGATAATTGGTCACAACTGTGAATCACTGTGGTTGCCCTTGACACCAAGGTCAGTCCCTGCCTTGCTCTTGTCTCTTGCTATTGATTGGTTTTTAAATCCAGCTATGGAGATGTGGTTTTTCAGTCAGCCCTGGAGGGACCTGCTTGGCTGGGCGGCCTCCCTTCTTGACATTTAAAAGAGACAGGGTTTGGTGTGGTTTCCATCGGGTTTAAATGTCAGTTGTCTCTCGGTGTTGGGGGCTACCCCTGGGATGGGCAAGGAGGGACATTTGGGTGGGGCCTTGTTGATCTGGGCAGCCCTGAGGTTTTTGGGGCGGTTAATACTGCTTACAAAGCATGCCAGACCTCAAAAACTAATAACCACTTGTCATTTCCTATCGGGAGGGTAATCAGAGAAGCTACTTGGTGAACCGTGAGCCTCTCTCTGAAGCTGTGGGTGGGGACTGGTTTTCAGAATTTTGAACCTGGGGTTTTCCTTATTTATTTAATGTGCTAGACTGGAAAGAAGGCTCTCTCAACTCTTGTTTTTTCATTTCATTTTTTTTCCCTTTGTAATGTCTCCAGTGGATTCAGAGTTATTTCTTTTTCTTTCTTTCTCTTTCCTCCTTTTTCTTCTCTCTCCTCCCTCCCTTCCCTCATTTCTTCCTCTTTTTCCCCCTCTCTCTTCCTTCTTCCCCTGCTTTCTTCCTCTCTTTCTCCCCACTCCTTCCCTTCATTCCTCCTTTTCTCTCCCTTCCTTCATTTCTCTCTTCTCTCCACCCCCTGCCCCCCACTGGTTCCTTCAGAGTCCCTAGCACATAGTAGATGCTCAGTAAGTGTTCATTGGACAGGAGGAGGGATTGTCTACCACATATGAGGAAAATAATTTTAGGGGACACACAGATGGCATTGAATAACATTAGAGTTGAGGGTTACAAAGTATTTCCCTTTTTTATTTTCCTTTAGTTCTTATACTTGCGCCACAGAGTCTTGGATTGTGCCATTGTATCTTTTACTATTCCCCAGGACTTGGCAGTCTCCCTGGTTTAAGAAAGTGTGGCAAGCCTTAAACTTAATGTCTTTAGCTAGAGACCCTGTCTAGTTAGGATTTCATAATACTGTTTTGTTTCATCATTGAGTGATATTCTACTTATGGCAGATGTTGCTATAGTTTCCAATATAAACATATCTATGTTTTTAAACAGTGGATTTATTTAAGAAAAATAGTATACAAAGAATAGTATAGTTGGCGCTGCTATGGTCCCAATTGTGAAGGTGACTAGAGGAAGACTTGGGTTCAGACAGCTACGTGCCAGGCACAGCTTGAAAAAGAGCTGGTTCTGCAGCCTGATGGCCACGCCCAGGCATCCACATTCAACACCAACATCTGTCCCCCTCCTGGAACCTGGATCCTCAGGTCAGAACCCGCCACTTGCAAAGCCGTCTCTGCGGCTCTGCTTTTGCCAGGGAATGTTTTCATCGTGAGATCCAAAGAAAGAATATCCTCAGTGGGGAATAACAAGAATGACCTAAGGTGAGGCAGGGCAGGCAGGCAGGAAAATGGGCCTTATCCTATGTCTGTGCAAGCAGATGGTCTGTTTGGTCCACAGGAGCCTGGGGAGGTTTCCATAAGACTCTGGCCGGGAAAGTGCTGACATTTCCAGTATTGATTTTTCTTTTCCCTCTGTCTGTTTTAAGTTGTGCCTGGAAGGAAAATTGGGGTTTCCAGGAGGAGCTCTCTATCCTGGTGTCAGCTTTGAGGGATAATTGGTTCCTTGCAGCTTTTGAAGCTGATGATAAGAGATGTTCTGGAGGCCTAGCTAGGATCCTGAAGGTTGGGGTGTTTGAGGGAGGGGTTGCACATAGCACTTCCTGCTCTCATGTAGCCACTGGCTGCCTTTCCTCAAGTCCAGAAAGCTCAGTTCCTTTCTGTGGAACTAGACTTTTGCTTGATAGAGGAATTCAGCCAGGAGTCAATGGCTCGGAATGAGTTTGTACTAGGAAGAAAGGAAAGTTGGCCACCACCGCTGCTGAGGCTGTGTGTGTGTGTTCAGACTTATTGTTCCATTTTCTGATCATACCTACAACAGCCCCCTTAGGCAGCTTCCTGTAGCTCCTTCATTATTGGAGTGGTAAGGGCTGATGGCACATGGCAGAGAACTGAAGGCAGAGGCATATCTGGAGTGTCCTGGTCAAGCATAGAGTTTATTATTATTTAAAGATTTATTCTGATTTATGTGAAAGGCAGAGTGACAGAGAGAAGGAAGGACAGAGATCCTCACCCACTGGTTCACTCTCTGAATGGCCACAACAACTGGGACTGGGCCAGGCTGCAGCCAAGAGCCCAGAACTCCATTCTGAGTCTTCCACGTGGGTGGCAGGGGTGTAAGAACTGGACTATCTTCTGCTGCTCTCCCAGGCACCTCAGTAGGAAGCTGGACTGGAA